GAAAAATTGCCTGATCAGTGGAAGGAATCTATTATTGTACCAGTTCACAAGAAGGGTGATAAAACTGACTGTAGTAATTATCGGGGGATGTCACTGCTATTAATTTCATACAAAATTTTATCCCATATTCTTATCTCAGGGTTAAGTCTATTTATAGATGAAATTGTGGGAACGTCCCACATACTAACACGCAGTTTTGCTGGTCTAACAGACAGCACTCATTCCTAGTCAATATCACATTGCTGCACGTCAGAGTCAGAGTCAGAGTCAGAGTCAGAGTCAGAGTCACGTTGCAACTGACGGTCAGTCAGTCTGTCTGTCTGTCTGTCTTGGTGTCGAGCCCCAGCTGGGGCTCATGACCAGATATTTCTTTTGAATGAAAGTTACTGTCTTGTCTATGTATAGCGCCCTCTCTGACGAGAGGTTGGGCCTGTCATTTGTTAGTCAGTCTGTAGTACTAAGTCCACTGTCTGTATTTACACATATTTATAATACACTTATTCTTATTTAAATGTACAATATATACACGGCCTCTGTCAGTCCAGGCTAGGTACAGCAGATTATGCCCTTTTATATATATATAAATTTCCTAGTAGTATTAGCTACCACAGATTGCTGCACGTTGCTGCCACCACTCGTATTTATACAGGACTCGATGTCCAGCCCACCTGAAGATCATCATGTATGTTAGCCAATCAGTGCTCACAATCGCAACTGCAAGTTTAAGCTCCGCCCAGCAAGCATGGTATAAAAGCGGAGCCCAAAGCTTGCAATCATCAGTGATCACATTCAGTTCAGAGCGATCAGTCATCAGAGTCATCAGCTCTTCATACGCCAAAGACAGCTGCCACAACTCTCCAGCAACCTCGCTCTGTGACCAGGCAGCTAACGTAGTTGCCGCAACTCTCCAGCAACCTCGCTCTGTGACCAGGCAGCTAACCTAGTGGCCGTAACTCTCCAGCAAACGTGCCGTAAGCAGCTGTTCCTACAGGTGCATGCAGCACAACATTACTGGCCAGACAAACCAGCTGAACAGTCGTGAAGACTTGGTCTACTACAAAGGAGCAAATTCTACCAGTGCACTCATGGCGGAACAAACTGCCCTTTTCAGGGCCATCCTACTTTTGACATTCCACATAGCTTTGCAGCTATTCAGTACATTCAATTTATACAATTTAATATATAAAATTGTTACAGATTTACGTGGTTGTCTTTTAGAACATCGTCAATCCAACAAAATTATTGGGGATCATCAGTGTGGGTTTCAACATAACAGATCAAGTGCAGATCAGATCTTTTGCATTTGTCAGATATTGGATAAAAAATGGGAGTACAATGAGACAGTACATCACCTATTTGTAGACTTCAAGAAAGCCCATGATTCAGTTAGGAGGGAAGTATTGTACAATATTCTGATAGAGTTTGGCATACCCATGAAACTAGTTAAGCTGATTAAAATGTATTTAAACAAAACTTATAGTAAAGTCTGTATAGGTAAACATTTGTCTGACAAATTTCCTATCTAGAATGGTCTAAGACCAGGAGATGCTTTATCGCCACTCCTTTTCGACTTTGCTTTAGAATATGCCATTAGGAAGGTCCAGGAAAACCAGGTGAGACTGAAATTAAAGGGGACACATCAGCTGTTGGTCTGTGCTGATGTGAATCTACTGGGTGATAATATATACCATAAAGAAAAAACACAAATTTTAATTGATGCAAGTAAGGAGGTTCGTCTAGAAGTAAACACAGAGAAAACTAAGTATATGTTGCTGTCTCATCACCAAAATGCAGGGCAAAATCATGACATAACAATAGGAAACATATGTTTTGAAAATGTGGTACAGTTCAGATATTTTGGAACGATGATACCAAATCAAAACCTGATTGACGAAGAAATTAAGAGGAGCCTGAACTCTGGTAATGCTTGCCACCATTCAGTCCAGAACCTTTTGTCTTCTTGTCTGCTGTCCAAAAACATAAAAATTATAATATTGAAAACTATAATTTTGCCTGTGGTTCTGTATCGGTGTGAAAGTTTGTTTCTGACATTAAGGGAGGGACATAGACTGAGGGTGAAGAAAGCAGTTTTCTAGGATGTGGCGCCATGTAGATATTGTGTTAACCGACGTTTCGGAGGAACTAATTAGTCTATTTGCACCTGCTGATGCTTGTTCTTTGCTTGAGAATTTTCTTCTTTTTTCTTCTACCCTGAAGATGGAGGCGCTACGTTCCTCCGAAACGTCGGTTAACACAATATCTACACAGTGCCACATCCCAGAAGACTGATTTCTTCATAGTCACCACCATGAAAATCTCAGATCTTACATAGACTGAGGGTATTTGAGAACAGGGTGTTGAGGAGAATATTTGGGGTGAAGAAGGATGAAGTGAAAGGAGGTTGGAGGAAACTGTATAATAAGGAGCTTCATAACTTGTACTGTTCTCTAAGTATAATTAGAATGATCAAGTCAAGGAGGATGAGGTGGACAGGGCATGTAGCACGAATGGAGAGATGAGGAATGCATATAGGATATTGGTGGGAAAGCCAAAAAGAAAGAGACCACTGGGAAGAGCAAGGCGTAGGTGGGTGGACAGGATTAAAATGGATCTTAGAGAGATAGGATGTGATGGTATGGATTGGATTTATCTGGCTCAGGAATGAGACCAGTGGAGGGCTGTTGTGAACACGGTAATGAGCCTTCAGGTTTCATAAAATGCTGAGAAATTCTTGAGTAGCTGCAGATTTGGCTTCTCAAGAAGTGCTCTGTTCCATAAGTAAATAAGTAAGTAAGTAGGTATCATTTTACTTCTTCTATTGGGGTTTTACTCAGGTAACACNATATAGGATATTGGTGGGAAAGCCAAAAAGAAAGAGACCACTGGGAAGAGCAAGGCGTAGGTGGGTGGACAGGATTAAAATGGATCTTAGAGAGATAGGATGTGATGGTATGGATTGGATTTATCTGGCTCAGGAATGAGACCAGTGGAGGGCTGTTGTGAACACGGTAATGAGCCTTCAGGTTTCATAAAATGCTGAGAAATTCTTGAGTAGCTGCAGATTTGGCTTCTCAAGAAGTGCTCTGTTCCATAAGTAAATAAGTAAGTAAGTAGGTATCATTTTACTTCTTCTATTGGGGTTTTACTCAGGTAACACAGTTAACACAGTATATCTCTTTAGTCTCTGTGTAGTTTCGCTATTATCTAGTAGGTTCACTGCTAGTGCATTAGTGTGGTTTTCTAATTTTATTAAGTGGTTTGTGTTCCACTNTTGGATTTATCTGGCTCAGGAATGAGACCAGTGGAGGGCTGTTGTGAACACGGTAATGAGCCTTCAGGTTTCATAAAATGCTGAGAAATTCTTGAGTAGCTGCAGATTTGGCTTCTCAAGAAGTGCTCTGTTCCATAAGTAAATAAGTAAGTAAGTAGGTATCATTTTACTTCTTCTATTGGGGTTTTACTCAGGTCTGCTTGGTGGGGGGTTTTACTCAGGTAACACAGTTAACACAGTATATCTCTTTAGTCTCTGTGTAGTTTCGCTATTATCTAGTAGGTTCACTGCTAGTGCATTAGTGTGGTTTTCTAATTTTATTAAGTGGTTTGTGTTCCACTTCTTTATTTCACTGAGCACTGTGTTCATTTGTAGATCTTCATGGATCCTGTGGTTGTTTATGTACCAAGGTGCATTCAGAATGGATTGGAGAGGCTTGGATCGAGAGAGTTGGACAATTTTGATGTTGGAATTTGAGGCTGTTCCCCATAGCTGAATTCCATAGGTCCATATGTGTTTGAGTACAGCTTTGCATAGGAGGAGTTTGCTTTCTGTTGATAGTGTTGAGCTTCCGAGTAGCCACTGCATTTATTTAGCTTTTTGTTTGAGCTGTTTTCTTTTGGATTTGTTGTGCTTTGGCCATGTCACTCTTCTACTGAGTTGCATGCCCAGGTATATCACTTCATATTTCTGAGGTAGATCAACATTGCCCATTTGCCCTGTCAGACATGTTTGGTTGCATAGGGTGAATGAAATATGCATCGATTTGCTTTGGTTTATTTTGATTCTCTGTATTTTTGCCCAATTGTTGATGTTATTGATGATGGCTTGGAGTTTCATTAAGGCTGTGGCTGGATCCTCATGTGTGGTTGCTGTATTATCAGTGAAGGTAGCATTGTTTCTTTTAGCGCTTGTATAGATACGCTAGACTTTATTAAAGTTTTTTTTTGCAATCAATATGTTGATGTAATTTGTTGCTTTGCCTTTATATTCGGCTAGCTTGCATACATGTTATACTTAATGGTTCTTATTTAGTTATTCACTAACTATGTTAACTATTTTATGCTGCAAGTCTTGAAGCAGAGACTGGATGAGAATGTTTCAGACTCTGCTGTGTCCTTATTCACTCTGCAAGCTTTTGTGAATATGTTAATGAACTTTGAGTTCCATAAAAGGCAACTCATATTCTGGGCTACCTCTGTGACGACAAGCTTCTGAAAAATGGTTCTGCTTCATGGACTTAGCAGTTCAGTCATTTTGAATTTGCATGGAAGAAATCTCTACAAAACAATTATTGTCACGCCATAAAGAAAGGAAAGTATAGCCTGTTTTTAGCTTATTTTCCTTGTTAAAAAAGAATGGAAGAAGTTATGGAAAGTGCTAATTGTGTACTACGTTTCTCTATATATTGAATGTTTGGTATGATCTGGACTGGATATAAGACATCACATCTAGTAACTTTGGAACTGAATGTGACTGGATGCCTGAAAGTGAGAATAGTGGAGTCTAAGGAGACAGCTCTTGCAAGGCAGCAGCTGTGTAAGCATGTTCCCACAGCAACAAATACACTCGCAACAATGGAAAAACTGTTGGACGCGATGCATGGCCCTTGTCTTATGAAATAGTCAAAACATAGTGAAAGGAAAGTATACCATTATTTATTTCCAGGACTGCTTGTATGTAATGTGAATGCATAGCTGTTATAGATAAGGCACTGTTTGTTTTACAGAACCCTGCAGATTTTGGGAATGTGCGAGGTCTGCATAGTGAAACATGCCCAGCTTCTTCTCATGATGCATGTTCGGCTGTCAGTATAAAAGCTGAGGTACTGTCACATGCAGAAGTGGAGGAGGATCCTGTCCCGCTAACTTTTGTAGGAATAAAGGCTGAACCTGAGGTGAGTTGTGTCTATGCCCATGTTAGGCAGATTTCACAAATACAGATCTCCCTTGTTTTATGAGCTTTTGCTACAGCGAACAACATATATTCATAGGGATTATATTTCTGCAAAAGCAGAGAAATACACACACAGCGTGGGGCAAGTGGGGAGAAACAGATATCACCACCCACATACATCTATCTCACCACTGCAGTCTCTCCACATGCCTTGTTCTGATCATACATAATTAGCTGTGTTTCTGATACTTATATTTCATCCATAAATGTCTGTTATTTATTCCCATATTGTCTCCCTAACAGGAGGAAGTTGTTGTAAAAGATAAAGAAATATCCACTCTAAGATGAGCTGTGAAAACTGCATGTATGGCTCCACAATGAAATTGATACCATCATAAATTCTGTCTAAACACTGTGTCCAGTTTTAACTCATGTGTTTTCTGCACCAGCTATCTTGAGATTGTATGTGTGAGGAATGTGGAGAACCTCAAGTCTTCCTATACTCCTTGGTGAAGGTGACAACACAGCCCCATACTTCTTGCATTGTGACATTTTACTCTACCTTCCACAACAGATTCTTACTCTCAACATGTTCTTTGTAATACGAGGGGTTGCCTTTATCTGAGTCTTTGTTAGTCATGCCCCTGCAGGTCAGAATTAAAGAAAATCTATATGTCAGAATTCCCAGAAATTCTGAGGATAGGACTATGGCTTCCATAACTGAAAACAGTTCCCATGTGGAGCGCGTGTGCAATTTTGTCCAAATCTCCTATACACACACATGCACATCCCCCCCACTGTTTTTTACTGCAGCCACTGCTGTGTATGTGTGGGTCTTTCTATTACTTTCTTTGTGATTATTAAAAATTTACTGGCCTTGGTACAGCCATGACAGAAGAGCACTGCACCACTGTGTTCTGCAGGAGAAAGTTTTACAATATTCATGTGAAACTGGATGTTGTGAACATGTGATAAGTTTTGCATGTGCTTCACAGATTCTTAGCATGCTGATTCATACTGCTTTGATGAGTGCACAGGCAGTTGAAACAAAGGCTGTTAAACCATTTGAAGGTGAAAATTACACACAAAGGTGTGACGTATTGGAGGTTTTGAAGTGGTGTCTCACAATATGAATTGAGAATTCTATCAACACTCCCATAAGGCTAGCTCTCATTGACCAGGAAGCTGTAAGGTGTGTGTTAAAAGAGGTAATTTTAGTATGGCATGGTCATTAGTTCTAAATGGGTGTAGGGTTTGTTGGGTAAATATTCCTTGTAAAATCATTGTCATGGATGACATGCTACCTTCTCAGGTTAGACACACATCTGTGGTAACCTCGGATCTAGTAGATGCTATTTACACTTGTTTACATTATTTGTTGTGGGTGGAAATCCCCACTTGAAGGTGATTCGCTTCATGTGGCATCTTTGCATTTCTTAACCATGGATAATGACCCCCTGTACCACCATGGCATATCCAGTTCTTGACACTTCCCTTTCCTGTGAATGATATGCAGCAGGTATCCCCTTTAAATATTTGGAGCATTTTGCTGTGTACATAGTGGTATACAGAATCTTATTCTGTATTTGTTGGTTTTCATACCCTTCAAGTGTGTCTATGATTTGTTAAATTACTTGCTTATTAACATAGTTCTGTTATTCTGTGTTCTTCTCTTTCTTGTGGTCAGGAAGTTTCAGAAATAGGTAACTGAGCTGCGTGACAAGACACAGGGGTTGGACAAAATAATGGAAACACTACAGATACTGTACACATGGTGTTGGACCACTTTTTGCCTTCAGTACAGCCACAGTTCTTGAAATGGACTTGTACCAGTTTTGAACAGCATCTAGTGGAATTTTATACCATTCTTCTTGAAGGACATTTTCAAGTTACTTTAGAGATGTTGGAGATGGGAATCTGTTTCTCACTCTAGTCTCCAAAACTGACAAGAATGGTTCAGTGATGTTCAAATCTGGAGATTGTGCTGGCCAGGGAAAATGCCGAAGTTCACCTTCATGCTGTTCAAACCATGACTGAACAGTTGCAGCTGTGTGAAGGGGGCTTCTTGTTTCAGAATACCCCATTGTTGTTCAGAAATAATGTTTGGATCATGGGCTGCACCTGATTACCCAACCTGTCTATGTACTCCCTTGCAATAATTCGGCCATAATTGGTAATAATGGGACCAACAGATTAGTGTACCACAATGTATCTGCCCAAACCATCACAAAAGCTCCCCAGTATTTCACTGTTGGAAGCAGGCATTCCGGATTGTAGACTTCCTTGGGTGTTCCCCATATGTAAACTTTTCCTGATGTAGGTAATAGGCATAGTATGAAGCATGATTCATATGACCATATCACATGCATGCTTCCTGTTGTCTGATGACACCACCGTTCATGCATATGAGCATTACTTTCAGTAATCACAGGTTTAGCAATTGCAACCCTACTGTGAATGGTGGATTTGTGAAGCTCCAATTGGACAGTTTGTGAAGCTCACATTGAACACTTTTTGTGGAAACTGGGTCTTCAAGATGAATATTCAGTTCTGCTGTCCAGTCACGTAATGCTGCAGTAGTTCTGTGATTTTTCAAAACAGTCCTTCTCATTGGATGACGTTCTCTTTCTGTCAGTGTTGATTTCGCCCACTGTGCCTCATCGCTGATGTTGTCTTTCCATAATTCATGTATGCTGCCATAACCTAAGAAACTCGCTCTTGATACACGTACTAATGTGGCAGTTTTTGTCACAGCTGCTTCAGCTAAACACACACCAACAATCTGTCTTCTTTCAAAATGAGACAAGTCTTCCATTTTCATCACAATCACTAATGCACTGACATGAGCACTACAGAGTGTAAATAAATGGCAGAAGAACATCCAGTGTTGGCAACTGAAGTTTTTTAATGTGACCAAGACAAACAAATTCTCTTCCTCAATTTCTTAGTGATTTCATTATTTCATCTACCACCTGTATATACCAATATTTAGACACTGAGTCCAACTAGGGAGCATTGAAACCAACAGTTGGATGAGGTGCAATAAAGTGATGTTTGAGCAGTGGTGCTCACATTGGCATATTAAAGGCTCTTTTCTTATTTCATCTGACACCATCCTTTGCATTTTGATCTTTCTTGCACAGACACCATTATTGCTTTGCAGAGTCTCGTCCGACACACACAGGGACATCTGGTTTACCACTTCCATATGGAGATGCCTTTTGCAGGCTGTCTAGCTCAGTGGCCCTGCTTGGCAATGAGACTGTGAATGCAGCGGCCAGTGAAGTTGTTTTCCTTGGGAGTTTGTCATCAGAATAACCTCTGGGTGGTACTTTGTGCCTTACTTCTTTACTGTGTTATCTCATCATGGCAGCATCTATGGACCAACACAGGATAACAGATTGCGGGCAGTGAAGCCATGTGTTTCGGTATGGCACTCCTCCAGCTTCATCAGGAAGGAGGAAGTCATCCTTACATGCCTTCGAATTAGGCACGGTTGCCTGACACATATGCATGTGTTGCAAGGTGCCCACATTTACTTCTACACAGTGTGGTGTGCACATCTGGAAGGAGTGCCCATGTTCTGACAAATGCCAATCTTCTCATGGTCAGGGAATGTTGCATGGCTTCCTAGGTGGTGACTGACATGGGTTTGTTCAAGATGTCAGGGTGGCTGTATATATTTAACTGACTCTGATCTGTTCTTCTGTTTGAATCGTTTTGTATGTTTTGTTGTTTCAAGGCTTTCACTAGGCCATACACTGCCTGACTTACTGTCATTTCTTAACTCAGCATATATTATCCTTTCATTTTAGGATCATATCCTCTATTTCAGCAGCCTCCTGTCGAGCCTTACAAAGGGATAATGTTCTTTAATGTTATAATCTATTATGTAATGGAAGTGGAGCTTGAGTTTTATTGACTCACAGAAAGACATACGTGCTAACGGACACCCACACAAAGTTGCGTATTTGCTGTCCTTTCTTCTTGATCTTCTCCCCACTCTTTCTCACCCATCTCTCTCATAACCCCTCTGCCACTCATACCTGAGTTTCAAACTCATTTCTCTTTGTAGGAGGATTTTCATGTTATTTATTCTCCTTTTGCAGATTATACCAGATGAACTTCAACCTGTACACGGTGAGGAGTGGCCATATTCCTGTGATGTCGGTAATAAATCTTGCAGACAAATGTATAATCTGAGGACACATCAGCCCATATGTGGTGTGGAGCGGCCAATTAGCTGTGATGTGTGTAATAAGTCATTCAGTGAACAGAGTACTCTGAAGAAACAGCAGTGCATACAAAGTGGGGAGAGGCCATTTTGCTGTGGCTTGTGTAATAAGTCATTCAGTTGGCAGAGTCATCTGAGGGCACATCAGCGCATACATAGTGGGGAGCGACCATTTTACTGCGATGTGTGTAATAAGTCATTCAGTTATAAGAGTCATCTGAAGACACATCAGCGCATACATACTGGGGAGCGACCATTTTGCTGTGATGTGTGTAATAAGTCATTTAATCAGCAGAGTACTCTGAGGACACATCAACACATACATAGTGGTGAGCAGCTATTTTGTTGTGACATGTGTAATAAGTCATTCATTCATCGCAGTACTCTGAAGAGGCATCAGCGCATACATACAGGGGAGCAGCCATTTTGTTGTGACGTGTGTAATAAGTCACTCAGTGATCAGAGTAGTCTGAAGATACATCAGCGCATACATACTGGGGAGCGGCCATTTTGCTGTGATGTGTGTAATAAATCATTCAGAGTTCAGAGTCATCTGAAGAGGCATCAGCACACACATTGTGGGGAGCGATCATTTAGCTCTGATATGTGTAATGCCACTCAGTCTTGAGTGTCATCTGAAGACATGTCAACTCACACACAGTGGTGTGTGCAGTAAATTCAAAGAGTAGTATAGGTGGCTTTAGACTAAGGGAACAATATATGATTTGTAGTATGCAACAATGTTGCAAATTGTAAGTAAGACAGTTTTACTGTGTGTTGCATGCTGTATGGCTGTAGAATGTTACAAGACATTGGAGCTCCTGGCAGTTGTTAACCTTTCTGTCTGACAGGAAATGAACTGAGTCCCATGGTACAAAACTCAGTGCATATCAGTGTCTGTTAAGTTTCTGATTGCTGAATGTGTACAAGACCCTGTCCAGGTGAGTGTAAACAGACATGACATTCTCCCACAATGTTTATTTTAAGCGTGGAAGCTAATGATTAGTAGAGGGTATGTATCTGAACTGACTGACAGCTTGTAAACACAATTCTGCGGCATCAGTCATCCTTCCTTGTATGTCAACTGTGCCCTTCTGCCATCTTGCCCAAGTAAATTTGTTGATCAGTTATGAATTGATATTTCATTTATATTGAATATTTTCATGTGTAGAATGGTACATGCAACAAAAATGATGGGTTCTAGTTTTGATGATTAGTTCACTGTTGCACATGCCCTAAGGTTCTATGTCTTCACTAGTCATCTCCTAGCAACAGATCTCAACACAGAACTTTCAAAGTCTCACTAAATTACACATTCCAAATTCCACTACACTATAGCACACATAAAGTCTTCAGTTCACAAGTTAGCTCTTCATCAAATATGAACTTCCTGTGGCTGTCTGCTACCGAGAACTCAGAACTCTGTCACTCATTGTAATTGTCACATCTAGTTCTAGTTCACTCTCTCATATACCTCTGCCGCCGCTATTTTTCTCTTGTAACCCTACTGCAACTCAGAAGTCAGGACTCTGTCACACACACTCACTGTCACTTCTTGTTCTAACTTGATCTCTTCTCATGATTCCACTGCTACTATTTCTCTCTTGTAGCTTGTAACTCACTTCAACTGAACTCTGCTCACTTGTATAGTCAAGGGACCGACAACGCAGCACATGTCACGTGATTGCCACCCGCTTCTGTTGCATAATGTCACAATGCACACGCATAGCAACAGCCTGTCCACAGACACAGAAAACATTGCTCCTCTACTGTTGGCCCCACATATGTTTCAGGTGTTGTCTAGCAACGCCGATGTTTACCATTTCAACGCCTAGCAATGGGTTTACATGCCACATTGCTCCCTTTTTAAGTCTGTCCGTCCCGAATACCCTAACAGTGTATCACATTTTCTTCTTTTCTGAGGGTTCCTGTTCGTAACGTCACTTTCCTGTGGCTTGGTCTTCCCCTCCTATGGCGATTATTCTCCAGCTGTTACCACTGCTCCCTCCTTAAGGCCAGCTTGTCCAAGCGGTTCCCTTATAAGGTTCTAGTTAGTTCCAGACTTAACACCATTATCCAAAGGTTCTTTTCTGTTCTCTCTCTTCCCCTCTCCCTCTTATAACAGTTTGGGCCATGACTTCTGTAGTGGCCGGCGCTCCCCCATATCCGGCTCTTATTATGCTAATGCTGCTGCTTTTTCCTTTTCATAAGGGGTCGACCTGTTCACATTGTCCATTTCCTAATTTTCTGAAACCTGCTGGAAATCCCGTGTCCTCTCTACACGACTTGAAGTCTGAAAGCCTTCCAGTCGATGTGACTTCCTCTCGATCTTGAGGAGCAGCTGCTGTCTTGTGCCTGAGTTCTTTATTCTCATTCTGCCTTGTAGCTCCTGTTGCAGGCCATGGTCCTTTATGTCACTGTTGCATTCCAGGCCTTTCCACACTCTCCTCATCCTCTCGTAGTTTTGGGGTTCTGGCTGGTTCCTGGTCCCATCTTTCCTGACGACGTTTTGCCTGCTCCATGCCACTCTTGCACAGTGGGCCATCTTCCTGCTGATTATGGCCAGTCTCTTATGGGGTCTACATTCCCTGGGTCTGAATTTTCCTGAAGATATTCCTCTTGTGCTATGCCACTCTTGCACAGTGGGACCCCTTCCTGTAGGTGGTGGCCAACTTCTTGCAAGGTCCACAAATTCCTCGGGTCAGTTCCCTTGGCTCTCCAGGTCTCCCTGCAGCTGGCCTATGGTCCCTGTGCTGCTGCTTTTGTCCTTTGACCAGAGTTATGATCAGGGAAGGTCATTTCTGCTATTTGCTAAGTATATAGTTGCAGCAATTACTGGCCAGCCTGCTGAAGTGAATAAAGCTTTGAATGAAGCCATTCATATACTGAATAAAGTGTGAAGACTGAGTACAGCAGACTGGAAAGATGTGCTTTATCTTCAGGTTACAACATTAATAAAGGGCCCTGTCTGAATATTAGTTGTACCCTCCTCACCTTTCTGCATTTACCAAGGGAGGAAATGGCTTTTAAAACTAGATGGATGTTCGAGGGAAGTATAAAGCTAAAAGGAAATGAATAGCACATAAAAAAAACAGGGCACCTTTAAGCTCCTTTCAACCTAAAATTTATTGTAGTTTCTCTCTGTTCCCATACGTAGCTATCAGAGCCACTCAAAGTTGTGTCTGTTTGCAGGAAGTGAATTGTAATTTTTGATCTGACTTAAGAGCTTCTGATCCTGAGAACAAAAAGTTTATTCTCTGTGGATTTCACCTTGGTGGGGAAACCAGTGTGGTAGATATGAAAGTGAAGTGAATCATTTGATAATATTTCTGTCTTGGTATTGGTTTTAACTTAGAGGGATAACTGTTTTTAGTTTCTCCAAGCACTCACCCACCACTGGGTCCGTCATGTGCCTCTGAGCTTGGTAGACCCTTCAGAGAGCCCTGGTCATAATTCTAAAGCCAGACTGAGGCCTTTTCACTCCTTTTTGTGCCTTACTAATCTAATTAACTTCTAAGCGGTCCTCTTGCATTTCAGAAAGTTATAAGGAAATTGTTCACTCTGTTCAGTCCAAACTTTACAATGAAATTGGCTGTGTTTCCGAAAGAAAGACGTGCCCTGGAATGTAAACAGCTAGATGAGTAGTACCCTACAGAAATTACCACAGCATTGCTCACACATTTATAACTTGGAGATGTCCTGTATAAGGAACAGGAGCGTGTAATTACTTGTAAAAACCAGAAATGTATGAAGAACAGTCCAGTTTCTGTACTTATACCAAATTACAGTTTGAGTGGAGGCTACTATTTAAACCTCAGTGCTCAATCTAATATTTAAATTGCCTGTAATATGATATTAGAATTTGGAAATGTGTACTAATTTGAATAGATTGTCTATTTGTTAATCATGAGAAAACTAAAAAGATCCATGTTCTACTGAATACTGATATGAACAGCATTGCTAGAAAACGGTCACTACGTGCAGTTCACAGTGTCTGTGCCTACCTGGCAGCTAAAATGGCTGTTCAAGACCTGACATTTAATCAGACATTTATAGTACTTTCTACAAGTTCTCAGTGACCTGGCACTCAGAAACACCTTCACAAAACAAACTGAAGTTAATCCATAAATTGAGGAACTTAATTCAGGGTTTCACAATATGCAAATAAATTAACATACTAATCAGCACCTATGGATTCAACTAGATGTTGTATGTAGCACAGTATGCAGCAACCAATGTGCTGAGGGGATTGTCATGTGGGAGCACTCACTAGGACGCGTCGGTCAAACCGCCTCCAACAAAAGGGCAAGTACTGCTACTTACATTCTGTTACTGTTGATAACCCCCTCAGGAATACATGCACAGTAAACCATTTCTAAACCTCTTATAGTTAATCCGGATGTTGGATAATCTGAATCAAAATATGAAAAAAGAAAAATAGAAATGCTTTTTGCAGTTGAGTACATACTTTAAGACACATGACATTTAGGAAGGCAGATGAGTCACTTGTCTCTTCAGACAAAACTTGTCAGTTTCTTCAAACCTGTATTATTATTATTATTATTATTATTATTATTATTATTATTATTATTATTATTATTATTATCATCGTCATCTCTTGTCACAGGTTTATTTCCTGGTATTCCTTTGCTTGGACCAGTGATGCACCTCACCACTCAGGCTTCAAGCTTCGCACTGTAGCACTTTCCGTAGTATGTGTGATGTTCCCAGGATAGCTGTTTTTTGCAGTGAATCTATGGAGTGTTTACCAGGAATTAGTTCCAAATGTTTCCTCAGCCCTCTGGTAACTGTACCCGTGGCTCCAATAATCACTGGTATCACAAAACATTTCACATTCCACATTCGCTGAATTTCGAT